TATACATGAATGTATGTAGGTATTATGTATTATGTAATCTCTCTCCAGAACTCCAGCCCTTCTCCACTAATTTCTTGTTGGTCATCTCCATCTAGGTAGCTTATCACCATCTCAAACTCCACGTGACCAAAATGAAACTCATCATCTGAGGCAGTTAAGTGAAGCAATGGGTAAAGCACTGGGCCTACTATCAGAAAGATGAGATCAAATGCAGCCTCAGACACTTACTACGCAACCCTAGGAAACTCATTTATCCTCTGCCTCAGTTTCCTCAACTGCAAAATGGGGATAATAATAGCACCTACCAACAAGTTATTATGAAGATCAAATGTGATATTTGTAAAGCACTTAGCCCAGTGCTTTATAAACACAGTAGGATCTTTTTTTTTGCTTCTTTCTCCTCCCTTCTCCCTTAAATCCATCCATTCTCCACACATCCCTATTTCTATTGATGATACTATTATCTTTCCACTGACTCAGATTTACAGTCATGGAGTCATCCTAAAATCTTCCTAAACTCATCCTAAAATCATCCACCATAACCAATCAATTGCTAGGTCTCATTCACAATATTTCTCCTAACCATTCCTTTCTCTCAACTCACATAGCAACTACCCTAGTTCAGGTATTTACCACCTCTTACTTGGACAATTATAATAGCTATCTTATTGGTTTCTCTACTGCTCTGATTCTCCACACTGCTACCAAAATAACATTCCTTAAGCAGCAATATTACTGTTGTTCCTCTGCTAAAAATACCAGGTTCCCTATTATCTCTAGAAAAAGAGAAATATAAATTTCTCAGCATGGCATTTAGAGCCCTCAAGAATCTAGCTCCAATATGTCTCTCCAGGCTTATTTCACATTGTTGTTACTGTTGTTCAGTCATTTTCAGTTGTGTCCAACTCTTCATGGCACCATTTTGGAATTTTCTTGCAAAATACTGGAGTGATTTGATATTTCCTCTCCAGCTCATTTTACAGATGAAGAAACTGAGACATATGGGATTAAATGATTTGCCCAGGGTCACAGAGCTAGTAAGTATCTAAAGCCAGAATTCAGAAAGATGAGTCTTCCTGACTCCAGGCCCAGCAACTCGTATCTACTGCAACACCTCGCTGCCCTATTTCACATCACTCCCATTAAAGTATGCTATATTTCAACCAGAATAGCTAGCCCATGAATTTGACATTCCATCTCCATAGGCTTAATAAATGGTTGTCAGACCGGAGAGGCTGTTTCCCATGCCTGGAACACACTCAATTCCTCCTCTTCAAATAGCTTCTTTTAAGACTCAGCTCAGATGCCATCTTCTCCTTCAAGTTTTTCGCGATTCCATAGTTTATATTCTTTCCCTCCTCAAAATTATGTTGTATTGACTTACTTCTGTACTAGCTGCATCCCATCAATACAAGTTCTTTGGGGAAGGGTAATTTCTGTTTTGTTTTGTTTTTTTGTCTTTGTATCCCTAATGCGTGATGTTGTGCCTTGCAAATAAAACAAGAGATGTCTTTGAAAGCCTTAATAAAAAGGCTGGTATTCTGGAAAAAGCACTGTACTTGTCTCCAAAGATCTGTATTTCAAATAAGGGTTCTGATTTACTATTTCAATGACCTCTGTCAAACCATTTAACTTTTCCGGACTTCAGTTTCTCCATCTGTAAAATGCAGGTGTTATGTTAAGTGATTAACAAGGTACCTTCCAGTACTTAATTTTATGATCATATCAAATTGAACAAGTGAGATTGGCATCATTGTCAGTTATGGTACTGCATAATTATTTTTCCCCTTTAATTTTCATCTTCTAACTAAAAAGCATTGCAGATAAAATTTAGCATTATAAAATATTCTTCAATTAAGTGGAGAGTTATTTAATAGATAAATATTCTTAATGGGGCTTTCTAGTGGTTTTAAATAAGATGTGCAATCACTCTCACATGTCTCTTTGGCACAACCATATATTTTATAAATGAGTTAAGACAGAGTGATCATAAAGAATGAATTAATCAGGAGGAGCCAATATGGCAGAGGAGCATGACAAAGTATAGCTGAAATCCCTGCAACTAAACTCTGGCACAAAGAGTGAGAAAATGTACCAGATCTAGTCTTGATCAGGTAATCTAAGAAAACAAAATACAGTAAATCATATTTCCAGTCCAGGTCAGCATAAACAGATAAACAAGAGCTCTATGGCCACAAGGGTTGAGGTCTGGACAATGGTACAGAGCAATGGAGCACTGCAGCTTAGAGGAACTGAAAGACATCTTGGGCTGTACATCAGGGCAAGATGAGATCTAGACCCACAGAGACTGAAAAAATAGAAGATGTAAGGTATCACATAGCAAAACCAAACGACCTGGAAAATAAATTGAGAAGAGAGAATTATATCTCTAAACACTATCAGGAATTAGTCTAATTTGGATGGAGGATCTGAAAGGACAAGTGAATCATGTCCAGTTTGTTATTTTTCTGGTCAGCTAAAAGAATAGGAAGGTTTGAAATGGTTATCCCCAAATAGGGCATTGTTTTTTCAGTTTAACCAAATGCTAGAAAACACAGAGCAAGTCAAGCATCTGCGATTAGCTAGGTAGTCTTATCAATGACATTTTTATCAGCAAGTTGAATAAAGACATAACTGGCAAGTTAATCAAATTTATCGATGGCATGAAGTTGACACTGGAATGCTAAAAATAACAGCTCATTTTTATATAGTGCTTTCAAAATGATCTTCTGGAATATAGCGCAGGTCTGACCATGTCACAAACACACACACACAATCCTCATCTGGTGTTCAGAGGGCATCATAACCTGCCCTCCTCCCCACTTTTCTAGTCTTCTTACATCTTACATCCCCCCATCACATGCTCTGTGACCCAGCAACACTGACTTCCTTGCTACTCCTTAGATAAAAGTGTCCAGACTCTGGGCATTTTAACTGGCTTGTCCTCCATATCTGGAACATTCTCCCTCATTATCTCCTCCTCCACCTCCTGGCTCCTCTAGATTCCCTCAAGTTCCAGCTAAAATTCAACCTCTACAGGAAGCCTTTTCCAATCCCCACTAATTCTAGTGCTTTCCCTCTGTTGATTAACTCAAATTTATCCTGGATATAGCTTGTTTATACTTGGCTTTTTGCATGTTGCATCCCCCATTAGGCTGTAAGCTATTTGAGAGGAGGGACTTTTTGAGAGTCTTTCATCTTTTTTTTGGTGGGGGCAGGGAGGGGGTGCAGGTATATCCCTAGCATGCACAGTGCCTGGCACGTTGTTGTTGTTGTTGTTCTTGTTCTTCAGTTATGTCCAACTCTTCATGACATCATTTGGGGTTTTCTTGGCAGAGATACTGGAGTGATTTTCCATTTCCTTCTCCAGCTCATTTTACAGATGAGGAAACTGAGGCAAATAGGGTTAAGTGAATTTCTCAGGGTCACAAAGCTAGTAAGTGTCTGAGGCCAGATTTGAACTCAGAAAAATGAGTCTTCCTGACTCCCGGCCCAGCACTCTATCCACTGTGCCACCTAGCTGCCCCTCTCCACTACCACCCCTTGCCCCTGCCAACTGCCTGGTACACAAAAGGAATTAATTAAATATTTATTGAATGACTACAAAGTGCTTTGCAAACTTCATTTCACTTGATCCTCACAACTATCCTATAGTGTAAGAAACCAATTCTATTAAAATACTTTAAAAAAATTTTTTAAGCCAAGCACACAGATCCCAGGCTAAGAACCCCCAGTCTAGAACTAGGGAGGTGATATTTCTGCAGTACTGACTTGGTCAGAATACATCTGAAGTATAACATGTGATTCTGAACACCACATCTGACAAAGGATGTTGACAGGCTGAAACACATCCAGAACAGGAAGGTGTAGGGCTGTGAAATCATGACAGAGGAGCATCAGTTGAAGGAACTAGTGATGATTACGGTGAATCGGAGCAGATTTGGAAGAACCATGAGAGCTGTGCTCAAGTATCTGAAGGAAAGTCATGCGGAAGTGAGATTAGAGTTATTCTGCTTGATCCCAGAGAGCATTACTAGGAGCAATGGGTGGAAGCTACAAAGAGACAAATTTAACCTTGAGGTCAAGAAAAACTTCATAATAATTAAAGCAGTCCAAAATTGGAATGGGCTGCCTGGAGTGGTAATGGACTCTCTCTCATTGGAGGCTGTCAAGCAAAGATTGGATGACTACTTATTACATCTATTGTAGATGAGGAATGACTAGAACTTCAGACACTATGAGAATCCTTTCAACTCAGATTGTGATTCATTACTCCATTTCAGCCAGAACTTAAGTGTGTAGATCTACTATACTGTAAAAAAGAAACAAGTTAGATGCCTCATTTACAGCAATGGGTAAAGTGAGAAAGGTCAGCTGTTGAAGGGGAAAATTATGAGCTAAGTTTTTAACCTCTCTGTTTCTGATGTTGTTGGGATATCTTTATTGTTTCCAAAAAGTCTATGCTCTATTTTTCACACTCAAAAAACAAGACCAAATATTTCATAAGGAGAGAAATAGCTACCCAATGTGGTATTAACATGACGTCTATTATAGCAAAACAAAACTGAATATAAATTGTATAGGAAAAATTAAATAAAACCCAAATCCATAAAGTTATCAAAAACCTCACAAATTAAAAAGTATAAGTTTCACATGAGCAGATAATTTTTGAAGTTAGCACTCCATTTTAAGAAAATTATAAAATAGTTACTAAAATATATGTAATCAAAATCTTGGGGACAGAAGAGAACTGAAAGGTCATCTAGTCCAAAATTCCACTGAGTGTGGGAATTTCCTCAACAAGCCACTGGATAAGTGATCAACTACTCCTCACCTACACAATTCCAGTGATGCAAAGGTCATCACTTAACAAAGAAGCCTATTTCATTTTCAGAAAGCTCCTTCTACAACTCAGTAAATGTCATACAGATCTCCACACATACGAATGTACCTCTAAACAAGAAGCATAAGTGGACATACACACACACACATACACACCGCATTTGTAAAGATGTTAACAGCTTTTATTACAACAGGGCAAGGTAGTATTCATCCACCACTGACCAACACCAAAATGTTGTCTTCTATAAAACAGCTTCAGAAATTTCAAACAAGAAAACTAAAATAAATATCAGTTGTAATAACTCTTATACAACACTGATAGGCATTTCAATTTCATGTTACTCCAAACAAATCAATACATTCTGTAGCAGATGTGTGGCAAACATTTTTGTCCAATTTTGTCTTTTTGCCCACAAACACACTGGCACATGCCTTACAATGAAAAATTCTTTAGAATAGAACTTCATGACAGCAATATGGATTCGTGCTTATAACTCATCATTCAGTTGTACCAAATACCATAAAATACAAAATGATATGAAATATAAACATCAATTTGTACTGTAATTTTTATTTACAAAAATAGGGTGGGGGAGAAAAGGTTTACATCCCCATTTCCTTTCTAGGGGAGACAAGACTGCCAGTATCTCATTTCTTCTAACAATTATTTTAAACGATGTTTATATTTTCTCAGAAACTGAGATATGCCTTTTAACTATAAGCCCACATTTAGGAAGGAAGGAATGGGTAGGCTTAAAACAGTCAAGACATAAATGGCTTTCCTTGAAATGATTCTGAATTGTATGTAGACTTAGTGCCTTATCAGCTTTGTGATCCAAGCACTCCCAAAGCTTATGGACATAAACATCTGATCATATCACTATTTACAGCAACTTATATCTTCTCTGGTTTCAAAGGACACTTCTTGACCTACAAGAGACTACCTGAATTACTTTTTTCAAAAGGCAAACACTATGACATAACTCCAAAGACAGGATTGTGACGACAAATGCTAGGGCCATATTCTTCATAGTCCTTCTTGGTGTGGCAAACTTGAAAGAATTCCGGCTAAAAACAAAAACAAAAAAAAGTTAAGACTACAGACGTGTTTCAATAAATAAATAAATAAATAAATGAAGTGAATTACTAAACGAATTAGAAATCCAAACAATTTATTCAGTAACAATTTATTCATATCCTTCTGTTTCTCCTTACTATTGTTGTTTTTAAGAGCTTTTACTTATATAGAGTTTACACATATTATATCACTTGAGCCTCACAACAAACCTGTTTGATACATAATGTCAAAATTATTCCCATTTTATAGTTGAGGAAACTAAGGCTAAGACAGGAGAAACTACTTGCCTGAGGTCACACAATTTATTAAGTGGCAGAGCTGGTAGAATCCAGCTCCTATAACTCCAAGTAAAAATCTACCACATTGCTTCTTTAGAATTTTTCACTTTGTTACTTTTTAGTCGCTTCACTATATGATGGCTAAAGGGAATAGAAAGGGAATCTATTCTGCTTGATGCTTGCAGCTTTTAGTAAAAGAAATGATTCATAAAGTGACTAAAACTAATGCCTAACATGAGATTTTTTTATATCATTAATGGATTTCACCTGTGCTTTCCCTGTTGTCTAATTAACAAGTAGATCAAAAGCTGACTAAGCTGAGATCATTAATGATGCAACTCATTTTTATGGAGTACAAAGTCAATTGTATAAATATACAATATGAACATTTTCAGCAGTATACTGACAAAATATATTTAAAATCATAAAAGTTAGCACAGAATTTTTTAAAGTGTCTTTCAAATATACTTACAGTTGATGCAAGCATGGAGCCTCCAAACCATACAGCATAGCGCTGCATATGGTGTGTTATAACTTGAACTTCTACAGGCTTAGGCTAGAAAATAAAATGTTTTACATTTAGTTCAAGCACTAGCAATCATTTTTATTCCAATGCTCTGTTGAGAACAAAAAAGTCTGGTCCCTAATCTCTGTTTCCTTTTCCCTACTGCAGGAAACAATTCTTACCTTTATAAAGTAGTATTTCTCTGTCATATCTGTTTTCAAAACCTTCTTCCTAGTCTCTAACATTCAATAAATCTAGAGGAACTAAGTACATCTTCCTTCAGGTTGTAAAGTGAGGCTTTCTCTCTAAAAATCTAACCAATTGAAAATGTAAAAAATCTAATCAACCTCTAACTGAATTGACTGGCAGTATTAAAATTACAAAGAAGATCACTAAGTAATATTGCCCCAAAAGGCCAGATAAAATTAAATTCTAAGTGTTAGTACGGTCTCCTTCCTATAAGCATCAGAAGAGTTTTTAATTACAGACAGCATGTTTTATTGATAAGATGGACAGCATCTAGAAGAGGGCAACCAAAATGGTTGAAAAGCATCGAGATCACGCCATATAAAAGTAATTAAAGGAAGGAAATGGAAATGTTTAGTTTAGAGAAGAGAAGACTTAGTGAGACCATGATAGCTGTCTTCAGATATATGAAGGGATGTCATTGAGAGAGGGATAAGAGCTGTTCTGTTTGGCCTCTGAGGGTAGAATTAGGAAAAATGGATGGAAGCTGCAGAGAGGCAGCTCAATGTTAGAAAATTCCGGAATGATATCAAGAAAAACTCCCTAAGAATTAGAGGTATCCAAAAGTGGAGTGGGTTGCCTCAGGACTTCTGCAGAGGTCTTTGAAGGAAGGCTGGATAAACTTGCTCAGTATGCTATGAAAAGAATTCTTGTTCAGGTATGGGTGGAAGTGGATGGCCTCTGAGGTCTCTTCTGAGTTGAGGATGGATCCTGCAACATTACCTCTACATGTTCCTTCATAAGACCAGTAGCTCTAGTCAAAATCTGAAAGAAAGATACTAGAAAGTTAAGAAGCCTATCTTTGGGAAACACATTGTAACTCCCTGGTTATTCTAATTTAAGAGAGTACTTTTAAAGGATATTAAAGAACTGTATACCAAGCGAATCTCCTGAAGATACTGGTCATTATCACTACATGCCTGTTCTCCTTCAATATAAAAAGAAAACTACCTTCAAATATGGGTCAGTGACAGCATAAAATTGTTGTTGCCGCATCACTTGGTATATCACTCTTAACTGCATACTTGGAATATGTTCAGACAACAAAATTCTGAATGCAATTTCACAGAGTGGGTAGGAAAATGATAAAGACTTGTTTTTATTTCACGCTACTAAGCCAAGATTTTTTAGCTTCGTGTTGTAAGGTAAGAACCACTTCGTTTCCAGTGTAGAGGCCACGTAAAAACCACTTCATTTCCAGTGTAGAGGCCACATTCCATTTATCCCACATACAGTTCTCATTTTGGATTACCTTTATCCTTCCACCACTGAGCTCCTCACTAAGCTTCAATCTGGCATCTACCACTCTTTTCAAATCTCTCTGCAGTCGACGTCCAAAGTCTCTGAACATTGTGGATCCTCCTGAAAGAACAACATTCTAAAAAGACAAAAAGAAAAGAGTAGAAAAGTCTTACTTTAGAGTAAAATGAATGTTTATTGGGACAAATATAAATTGCTTTAAAACAGATATTGCTATGTGCCCCCCCCAAAAAAAATACAATGACCTACTTCATTGCACAGCGTACCTTAAAATTCTATAAAAGAATGATCACTGGATTCACAGTTAATGTTAGCAAACTAATTTAAGCTAATTTTACACCCCACAAATGTAAATCTAGTTTATCTTCAGAAGCAGCAAGGGTATAGTGATTAGAAAGCTGGCCTCAGAGCCAGGAAGACTAAAATTCTGGTCTACCTCTGACACATACTGGTTCTTTGACCCTGAGTAAGTCACTTAACTCCTCAGTTAACTGTGTAACTGGGCAACTCTCTAAAACTAGTAATTGCAAATCAGCCGCCAACCTGTACTAGTAGAGAGAATTTCCTCACCTGGGAGCTCCTATACCAACAAAATCAGAGGTGCAGTCCTATCTTTAATTTACTTGTAATTTCATGGCATTTAAATTAGATAAAAATTCCAAGCTGCTATTCTGGGCACACCTGCAATATCTTTGCACTATAAACCAAAACAAATGACAGAAATGAGTACACAAATCCTTGCAGTCATTAAAAAATACATGGTCAAATCTATATTGGTACTTAAGATATGTTATTTTACATAATCACAAATTATCCTCCTATAGGAAGCAAGAATTATAATCCCAGAAATAATAACACTAAAGTTCATATCAGATTTATATAAGTGTTCTCACCAAATCCCATGATAGCATATCATGGGATTCTCCAATTCTCTACCATTTCTCATTTCATCAGACTTTTAAGTTCACTGTTCTCCTGAAACTGGAACTTGCTATCACATTTTATTAGATTTGGAAAGCTAACAAGCTAATAGTGTTAACCATGGAAAAGTATAGTATATGCAACAGAGTTGCTCTGGTGATAATGGAGTCTTCTGAAACAAAAACAAAATAAAAAGTAATAATCCTATACATTAAATGGAATTTAACGTAGAAAAGTTATGTGACCTCTCTCTTTCGCTGAACTATGTGTTTATCTTGAATGTAGTTTTCCTTTAAATGGAGATGAGTGCTGAAAAAGATTTTATTCTTAACATATCTTTGTGCCTGTGCCTATGTGTGCAGTTTTTAAAGCATGTTTATAAAAAGGAAGCACTGACATTTGAAAAGGAAAAATTCTACAACTATATGATGGCTCTTCAACTTAAAACTAAATCATCGGTAGTTCATGATGTTCCAGGCTTTTACTGGCAGTTGTCATGGGCTTCCTGAGTTTTTGCAATGTTTCATATTACAATGGAAATTTTAAAAATCAATGGCAAAGTACTCTTTTGTCAAAAGATAGAAAACAAATGGAATTAAATCAATTTTAGAGAAAAATAAATATGAAATAAACACATTTGAAACTTTTAAATGTTTTAGATATTTCTAAAAATGTACTTTAATCTTTCTCAAATACAAATTACTAGAGGGAGGTCAAAAAAATTTTCAAGTAAATCTATATAGTGATGAATATGTGTTATCAGAGATACTATCACTTGAGGTTGTTTTTTTTAATGACATTTCTTGTTCTTACATCCCTTTTATTTTCCAAACATACCCTTCCACTCTCCCCTTTCCAAAAAGCAATCTCTTGAAACAAAGAATTTTTAAAATGGTGGGGGGGGATGGGAGAAGAGCAGTTTAACAAAACTAACCAATACATTTACTCAATCTAATAGGATATGCAATGTTCTACACCTACAATGTTTTACACCACTTCTGCAAAGAAGAAAACTAAGTGCATTTTGGTCATTACAATTTCAAAGTGTTGTTTCCTTTTGTTGTTTCCATTTACATTGTTGTAGTATAGATGACAGAGAGGCAGAGATAGCTACATAGTGTATTCCTGGTCTGCTTATTTTACTTTGTATCAATTTATATGTCTTCCTACATTTCTCTGTTTTGTTTACATTCAAAGGACAATAATTTTCCACTCCATTCATGTACCACAATTTGTTAAGACATTCCTCAATCAATGGGCATCTATTTTTCTTTACAGTTCTTTGCTATTATAAAACATTCTGCTGTGAAATTTTGGTGTATTGGGGACCTTATGTCTATCTCTGACATCCTTAGTCAACAAGACTAGCCAAAGGACATGGACATTTTAGTTACTTTCTCATTATAATTCAAAACTGATTTCCAGAATGCTTAGAGCAATTCGACATTCCACACTGTCTTTTCACAACTCCTCCATTGCTGCTATAGAGCTTTTGATTAATGACAGGAAAATTTAGACTGAGAGTAAAAAAAAATTACGACTAAGAATTTTTCTATAAGCATTTAATTCTAGTTGGCTTGCAACAGTACCTCTTGTGAAGACAGCAACCCATTCCTCAACTTACATTCCCCATTGTTCCCCACTGCCTTAAAGGGAGATGGTAGGAAAACTAAAGTTCTGCAGACCTTTGTTTGGAGCTACTCTAATTACCATCTTCCTTTGACTCCCTAAATTAAGGAACATTTTCATAAAATGATTGCTTTCTATGGGAAAATTAAATCAGTACATAGCTACTCTTAGAATAAAAGCAGTAGCTTACATTTTAGAACTTTATAGTTACAAAACACTTTATATACAATACTTCATTTGACTTTCATAATAATTATGTAAATAGAGCTTTATATCATCTCCATTCTATACATTAGTAAAGTAAGGTTCAGAGGAGTTGGGTGACAGGTAAAGGAAGGAGCTTATGTTTGAACCCTTGCCTTCTGCTACCAAATCTAGGAGTGTTTATTCCATTGTAGCGCTGTAGCATACTAAATGGTACCCTACTAATCTAAAAGATTTAAATGCACCTTCAAAAAGCATATCGTTTTCTCATGGGAAAATTCAAGATGGTGTTAATCATTAAGAATATCCTGGGGAAACTAGATGTTAGTATAATGAGATCAATTCTAGGCATGTTTAATTTTAGGCACTGACAATACATGTTAGTGAAGGTGTCTTACAAATAACAAAAAATAATTGCCCGGAGAGAAGGGAGAAGGTCAGGACTGAAGATCTTTATACTTAAATTCTTTATTATGACAAAAAGAAAGTCTCTTTGGAAATAAAATGAACCTTTATATGAACTTTATTTCACTAATGAGGCAAAATGATGCCGTATTCACAAAGCAATCAGCTTCTTCATTAGTAGGAAAAAACAATGTCATTTGTCTCAAAGAAAAACTAAAGTTTTGAGATTTTAAAAAAATAACTAGAAAGCTAAGAAGTGGGAAAGTGGTAGAGATTATCAGATACACACATTTTCAAACACCACAAATGTCATTCAAAACATCAAATTAAAAGCATTAGCAAAACAGGTACTAAAATTTGCATGAAAGGGTGCTGAGGAGGCAGCTACATGGCTGAGTGGACAAAAAAATATAGACCTAAAGTCAAGAAGTGAGTTCAAAACCAGCCTTAGACCTTTACTAGCTGTGTGACCCTGAGTAAGTCACTTAACTTTTGTTTCAGTTTCTTCATCTGTAAAATGGTACCTACCTTCCAGGGTTGTTATAAGAACATATTTGTAAAATGCTTTGCAAACCTTAAAGCTATATAAATGCTATATACCATATAAATACTAGCAATTATTATTCTCACTTCCAGGAGGTAAACACACAAGGTAGATCTTGTTTGTAACAGGTCACTAAGTATTTCCTAATGAGGACTGGTGCTTATGTACTATTACCCACCACTAATTCACCATAACACTCTCAGAACTGAGACAATGAAACTGCTAACATGTAATTGGCTAACATCACAAGCTTTTCCTGTTGAGTGTAGTAACAGATCAAACATTTAAATAAGCCTTGGTTAAGTATGATTATGTTCACTTTGCGTTCTTGGCACATTTCTCAAACAACAGCAATTCGGTGCTCCTGAAGAGGGCATACACAAACGTCCTTGTGTATAGTGCCAAAAAAATCTGGAGAGGGAAGGGAGGGCAAAAGGAAAAAAAAAAAGGAGGCGATAGAGGGAGAGATGGAAGTAGGAAGGTAGGGATGAAAGGAAGGAGAACACTCTCTGACACTAACTCTACTTATTGGGCCTAGATAAAAAGCAGGCAGGACTTTATCCTAGTCCATTCCAGCTCCCTACTTCCTTTTTGTAAAGGGGGTGGAGGAAGCCTCTGGGACCAGCACTCATGCTCTCAGAGGCAACAATCAGCTCATAATTCTAAGAGAAATCTTAAGTAAGCCCTGATTTCAAGTTTCAAGGTTCTGCATGGAAGAGTTACTAGGATCATTCATAAAATTAAACTGCCTAAGTGCCCCCCCTTTTAATTTTCTATGACAGACCTGCAGAGAGTCCTAGCCAAGTAGTGAAATAAAAAGTCCTTCATAGCCATCGCCCACTCCCCATACATATTCCAACCTCATGTCTCCCAAGACAATGGGAACAATAGATCACGTGTGGGTTTTTTCAGTTACATCTAAATGGAGAAAGGAAGGAGAGAGGGGGAAGAGAAAAAAGAGGCACCCCAACTGCTTGGATTTATGGGCAAAGAAGGGGAAGTAAGAAAGTGGATAAATTTACCAGACCCCAGCAGTACTGCAAGGAAAGAGTGTTGAAGCAAACAGCAAGTTCTGTTCAGGCAGATGACTTTTTAAGGAGATCATCAAGTCAGAGAAGGTTCTACCACCCATACCTACATTCATTCCTACAGTCCACTTGCAAACAACTCCCCCAGTGTACACATCTATGCCCTTAGTTTTCTTCCCCTCTGTGAAGCTCCAAAGTTCTAGGGTTTCCCCACCATGAATCATTCCCACTTTTCATGAGAAGCTATGCTTCTCAGCAGCCCCTACTGCTGAAGGGGGGCTATAACATCAAACCCTTATTAAAGAAAGCCCAGCTTATAAAATTCAGTATTGTATTACAGAACCTAGCATAACAATAGAACTTTGGGAAGGAATATAAAATACAAAC